AACATCACACAAAGACTTAACAAAAATTTACCAAATCAAGACTAAATTCCTGAAAATCTTTTATATTACTAAAAAAATATTCCCATCTGCCCTAACATCATCGTTTTGAATAGGCATTAGCCATTTAACACTGCTAGCATTGACCCACCTACTTGGTGCAAGTTAAGTATTAACAAAAAAAGTTGCAATAGGCTAGGATTAAATTATAATTTTTTTTTGTAAAGATCTTTAATGTAATGGCTATAAACTTTCGTTTAATAAAAGTCTCACATTTAATACTTATTTGCGATTTAAAAATATATATATATATATATATATATTAGTCCAAAGACTTTTGTAACACACTGTATATATCTTATTAATATTAAAAAAATAAAACTTATTAAATAATAATTTTATAAAACATTATTCAATTAATAAAATTTTATTAAAAATAAAATTAATAAAATAATAAAAAATAAATTATCAGTTTTATCTCAAAATTATAAGTAATTTTATATCAATTTTTAAAAATTAAATAAAGTAATTAAAAAATATCTTTATTTACTTTTTATAATTAATAATTTTTTGAACTTTTTAAAAATATCAAATAATTTATTTGTTTTAATTTAACAAACAAATATTGATAAATTATAATAAATAATAAAAAAATTTTTTATTCTTATTATAAAATATGAATTTAATATTACAGTATATTATTTGAATTGTATAATATTTTTATTACATTTTAATACTTAATAAATAAACTTTTTAAATTTTATAAAGACTTTTTATTAAAATGTATTTAAATAATATTACTATTTTCTTACAAATATTTCAAGAATATTATAATTATTTTTTTATTATTAGTATTAAACTTCTAAAATATAGAATTAATTATATTAAAATTATATTAAATAATAACAAAATAATTAAAATAAAATTATATTAGATAGTAACAAAATAATTAAAACAAAAGATCTTTTAAGATTAATTAATATTAAATAATCTTTTAAATTTATAAATTAATATTTTATTATTGAAAATTTATTATTAATTTTCTTATAATTATCAAATAATTAAATTAATTATTAAAGAAACAAGTATCAATTAAACGGATTAAAATTCAAAAAAAAATATTTCAAATATTCTAATAATACTTAATTTTATATTATATTAAAATATTTTAATTTTAATTAAATATTTAATAATTCTACTAACATATAATATTAAATTAAAAACAATTCTTATTTAATAAAAAAAAACCTACAAAAATATATTATTATATTAAGATTTCAAACCAATATCAAAATAATATTAACTTATAATAAATTTAATATTCACTTGATATTAAAATAGTATTATTAAAATCCTATATTATATATACTAGTAGTAGTTTAATCAAACTTAATTTGAATCAATTTACTATTAAATAAAGACATTTAATACTTATTTGAACTGCTTAATATTTTTATTAATATTTTAAAATTAAAAAACTTTTTTTTTAAAAAATTTCAATAAAATAAATTTGAAAATTTTGTTAAGTTATTTTTTTCTAGTTTATAACTTATTGATTGTTTTTTTTGATTTTAAACTTTAATAAAAATTTTAATAAAAATTAATATTATATATTAAATAAAATGTTAAATATTTTTTTTATAAAATAAAAGTATTTTTATCAAAATTAATATTTTATAAATATTTTTTTCAAATTTATTATAAGTCAACTTTAAAATTTTGTTATAAAACTTAAGCTATATAAAAATACAATGTCTTATAATTTTTAAAAAAATTTTTTTAATATAATTTTATTAATAATTATTTGAATATTATAAAAATTTATAAAAATATTTTATTGTTTTTTATATTTGAAATTTATATTTAATATAAGTTAACAAGTATTGATAATATATAATTATAATAAAAATATAATATAGTCAAACCTAAATATATGAACTTGTTTGTTTATAATAAAACTATAATAAAATATTAATTATAATTTTTTCAATTTTTATTAATTAATTTAAAAGCTTTGTTATATTCAAGTTTGACTATACTATTTTTACAAGTTTTACAAAAAAATATAATATTATAAAAGCTGTTTTAATTTATTATATAATGAAAATTATTTGTTTTATACAAAATTTTATAAATTATTTGTTTATATATAAATTTAAAAAACAAGTTTACTTAGATTTATCTTATAAAATATCTTAATAAAAACCATTTTTTGAATATAAAATTTAATATAAAAAACTTTATATTTTTCAAACATAAAAAATTGAAAACTTATTTGTTTTATACAAAAATTAAACCTTATTTTTTTTAAATCTTTTGTATAAATTTTTTTTTGATTTTTATGTATTATCTAAAATCTTGCAACATATATTTTTTTCTTTAATTTTAAAATATATTTAAATAAAATTTTATAAAATTTTAATGATTTTTTTTTATTTAATTATAAGATAAGATTAAATACAAAATTAAAAATTCCAAAAAATTGTGACTCATATTGTATATATTATATATTAAAAATATTTATAAATTAATCATAAATAATTTTATTAGGTTATTTTGCAAAAGAAATTACATATAAATAGTTGTAAAAAATTTTTACATAAAAGAAATAAATTGTGATTAAATAAATAAATTTTTAGTAAAAATTATAAAAACAATCACAAATGTTTGATTATTATTATTTTTTTTAAAAACTTGGGCAAGTTCAGCTTATTTTAAAATAAAGAAATTAGATGAGTTATCTTTCATACTGTTATCTTTATTGACATTTTACATGAAAATTCCAGAATACGAAAGTCCAAAAGGCTTTGACATGAATCGCAAACTGACTTAGGGAGGAACCATACACATACTACGATTATCGCCCACCGAAATGGCTGACGGATAACCATGATTCGGTTATAACCGACTGTTAGTCGAACGACCAATTACATAAGCAAATCATTCAACATAATTTAATCGTACTTCTTTTTCACAAATTAAATCACTATCGTGTATGTTATACATTACAAGAAAAGTAATGTGGGTAATTTTAAAAGGCGGAATTAAATAATGAATGGTTTTTTCAACCGAAACACGACTCATGACTTAGAGCGTTCGAGGCGAAGTAATTTTGATCTCTAAATAGGCTAGCTATATAACAAGAAAATAACAAACTATTAATTCCGAACTACTTCTAACAGGGATCCAATCTTGATTCAAGTGATTCGTATCTTTGATACAGTAACTTCGGGAGCTTGGAATTTCCGATTATGGCTCCGTTCCATAAAACTTGCAATGACACACAGAAAGATCTCCTTGTGAGTTTTCCAATTGTCAATGGTTATGAGCGCCTATTAAGCTCCCTTTATACTGTAATTAAACACGGATGATTATTGATCAGATAATAAAATCATTTATTAGATGCCTTTAAATATTAATGATGCAGTGACAAACACAGCATCTAAAATTAACGCACATTTATTATTATTATTATTATTCTAATAGTTTGCCTTTTTTTTTTGAAGTTTTCTTAGGAATATAAAAATAAAGCCCGAACCACGCCAATTTTCCTTAATAAGAAAGTATTCGTTCAATTGGAAAATGACGTATGACGTATGCGGTCAATTTTAGTCATTGGTCGATATGAAAAATGCGCAAAAAGAATAAAAATTTTTTCTACATGCATAATCGGGTGTATTGGAGTAGGGTACGCAATATGAAAGACTTTTCGATATCACACGAATTAACAAATAAACAAATAAGAAAAAAAAAAGAGAGAATTAAAAATTCATGAAGCCTTACCGAGTTTTATCCTTTCTGTGCTTCATGAATTCATTGTTTTTTTTTTTTTTGAAATTTTAGAAACAACTTCGAATTGTTCTCTTTATCTGGAGTAAACATAATGCCCCCAGGATATGCTGTATGTGTTTGTAGATATCATTCCCTGTATCTTATGACAGAATTCACAATGATCAACAAATAAAAATAAAAAAAAATTAGAGGTACGCCAAGTAACGAATTGAAATTGTAACGGAACAGGTTATTCCATTATCGGCATTTGAAAATTGCCAAATTATGATTACATGATAAAGGATTCATTATATGATTGTCTATGGGTAATGTAAAAATGGTTTTAAGCGGGGCGTAAAAAGATTGGTGGAATTATGTCATTGAAAACAAAGAAAAAAAAAAGAGATGAGAACAGCAACACAAAGAAAAAAGTAGTGTAATCATATATGGCGCAATACAAAAGCTTACTTATGGATGATTACTTGAGACCGTTTAGGCAATGTTTTTCCGCACGTCCATTTTAGGGACTCACATGATGTACACAATTTCCTTTACTGTCAGTATCCTAGGCGTAAATACCTATCACCGCACATCTGGTACGTACGTACCTCACTTATTTACGTGCACTCTTACTTTTTTTTTTTTTATGGAAACTTTGAAAGATATTTGCTTATACAAATGAATTGTGAGTGGCCCGTGCAACTGAAGTATTGAGTGAAAAGTAAATCCGGTTCTAACGTAATGTTAACGTCCATTTATGGGCCACGATTATTATAGTCACATGACAATTGTGAATAGTTACGCCACCTCTATTTATGTACAGGTGGCGAAGATCGATGACCACGCGAAGAATAAACAAACATAGACAATTAAGTAATTAATCTTGAAAAAAAATCATGCGTAACATACAATGATGGATTTTTTATTAAAATTTTTTTTATTGTATGATGAATCAAATATAAATATATGCAAGATGGGGTTTCCCTTTTTAAATTCATTTCCGTCATTTAGCCCACCCCTTCTCATATAAAAGTACATACATTCCTTTTTCTAGGACCTTGATTTCTTCGAGCAGGTCAAAAAAATCTTTACTTTTCCTCAAAAATAAAAGAAAATTCGGTCGCTATCATAGATACAACTCATGCCACCCTTGACAACTAATTATCGAAACTCTCTGAGCGAAATGGATGGGAATCATGTAAATATCTTTCAAAAAAAATCAAAAATTCGATCTTTGAATAACTTAATATATGTATATTAATGAAAATTATTAGCATCAAAATTCGATCGCAGACGCTCATCCTGATGACAGTTTGGAATCTTTCACGTGCAAGTCCAGATATAATCTAGAGTTCTCAGAGTGTTCGCCCGGATATCATTGTTATGATGGCGACATAGGAGGGCTATTATTTCATCTGAAAAGAGGATGCAATACCCGTGCTCTTTATCCCTACCAGAAGTCAACTACTCTTCTACCTCTGATCGCAGTTCAGGAGCTCCCTGTAAAAAAGATAATTCCAATTCTGAACTTGTTGGAAAGATACGGATTCAACCTTCATGATAGGGATCCGCAGGAAAACCGCAGTGTATTTCTTGAATCAAGCTCTCGTGTAAGTCACCAACAGCTTCATCATTGATTCATATTTTTTGCCGAATTATTATAAATCCTAAGTCACTTATTATGTCTATCCAGTTGATGAGACGAGATAAGAAATTTGCTGCCGATTTCCCAGATTTAGTCGACTGGTTCCTTATGAATAAGGATTTCGACGTGAATGAACAAGATGATGAAGGTTGGACCTCTTTACATTTCGCCACAGAAATGAAGCACAAAGAATTCATCAAACCGATCCTCAAAAAATTTTTCCAATGGGGTGCCAACGCAAGGTTAGAGGACATCCGTCAACTCAACATCTTAGGATGTCTCGTACAAAAGTAATTGTTTAACAACCTAATTGCTACTTCACCATTTTTATCCTGCGATTCTCATGTACAATTCTCTCTTTATAGGCATGATTTAGACTTCATTCAATCACTGATAAACGCAATTCCTGAACTTCAGGATCCTGAAGTGATTAGGAGAGCGATTCCCAAAACGGGCTATCTGAGTCCGAAACGATTTTATTTGTCCTCGTGGACTTCTCACTGAGCGTTTTAATCGTGAATATACGGAAAATTAATCGAATACGTTTACGAAATCTATCGTTTTTTTTTATTTCGAAAAAAAAAAAGAGAAAGAGAAAGAGATTCTATTGTAAGACGAAAAACTGAACAAAAATATATAAGACTACCCTTAAGAATTATATGAATACAAATTATGATCAATGAAAAATATGTACTATATGAAGAATTATCAATAAATAACGGTGCCGTTGATTTTTTTATATAAAAGCAAGTCATGCCATAACGAATATCTAATTCTCTGACTATAAAAAAATACGATAACATGATAAACATTAAACTATAATCATATAACCCTGTTCCTAAATAAATAATAAATAATAAATAAATAAATAATAAATCAATAAATAATGCACGAATGATAAATGAATAATAAAATAATAAATAAACCTTATTATTTTTGTTATTTTTAGATACAGTATATCAAGATCTTGTCATCATATTTTTGTTTTTAAAATATTTTTGAGTAATAATATAATAACATACTGTTCATTTATACAGTATATATATACTTATTAATTAGCCATAATAAATAAATAAAATAACAACAATAAATAATATTTGTTTAAAATAATCATGAAAACCTGTTTTAAAAGATATATGATAATAAATATATAATTAATTAAATACAATAAATATAACAATTTTAGATCAATAACAATTAAACTAGCAAATAAATATAATTGAAAAAAAAACAATAAAAAATAAAAAATATATAATAAATCATAAATATTACAAATATTTATAGATTGCTTATATTTAAATATTGATAATAAAATATCATATTCAGTATCAAAAAAATTATATATGTAATTATAAATAATTTTGCAATTAAATTAAATAATTCTGATTTGTTATTTAATATATCATATTTGATATTATTTATTGATATTTATTTAACTTTCAAATACAATAAATAAATACTTTAAATGTTTCAAACTATATATATTTTCATATCACTATAAAAAATTTTTAATTAACAAATTATGTATATAATATATTAAATATTATTATATAAATAAAGTTGAATAATAAATAAATTAATAAAATTAATACTAATCAAACCTGACTTACTTTAATTTCAAAATTAAAAAAATTTATAATAAATATAATATTTTTATTTATAAAATTATATGTTTAAAAAAATTATTAATATAATTTATATTAAACTAAATTATAAAAAACCTTTTTTATTGATCTTCTTATTAATTCAAAAAACAAATGTTCCAAAATAATTTTATATTGTTTATAATAAAATCTATACACTTTTTTTTAATATCATTATTATCTATAGACTTTAGTCTCTTTTTATTTATTTATTTTTTTTTTTAAAATAAACTTTTAATATTTTATAAGTAAATACAAGAAAAATCTATTTATAAAGTTAAAGTTAAGAATATTTTATTAAAAATAAGAGCTTATAAAACAATATTTTTCTTTTTTTTTTTAGAGATTCAAAATCCTAAATAAAATAACTATAGATTTTTAAAACTCTTTCTTATTTTCTTCAAGTCTTCTATTATTATAAGTATTTATAATACTATTTTTAAATTATTATTTTAGATTATTATATTATTTTATTATTATATTATATATATTATATAAATATGTTATTTCTATCAAATATAATTAATATACCAGTAAGAATTTGCTTTGCTAAGGGCCTAGACTGTTAACCAGTATATCAGAAATATATAATTATTAGCAATTCTATTTTGAATACCTGATATAATTATCACTTTATTATTATTTAAAAGGAATAACCACAGAACTGTTCTCTTGTCTTATCTAGCTTTTAAATTTTCAAAATAAAAAAACTATAAATAACTTATCTTATTAAAAGATTAATACAGGTTGATTATATCTAAATCATCAATTTGAGCAAGACCAATAACTCTTATTTATATTCCTTTTGACCATATAATTATATGAATCCAGATCACAATTCAAATTCAAACATTATTCCTCTTTCTTACTATTAATACTTATAAAACACACATGTATAGTTAATAATTTAACTAGTAATTAGTTATCATTTATATATTTTTTCTTTTATCTTACTTAGATTTTTAAAGATTCATATATATCAACTTTTATTTTTTGATAGACTAGAATTAATTTATTTTGTAAAAATTCTTAATATATTAGTAATAAATAAAAGTTTAATAAAAACCTTTTGCATTTAATACTTATTAAAAAAAAATAATAATAAAAAATAATTAATATGTTAGATTAATCTAATTAATTAAAACAATCTAAATAATTTGGACAATCTAATATAGCATATGAAACATATATAACAAAACTGACATATTTTATTTGTTATTTATTTCTTTTTTTATATTTCAAATATATATAAATAAGACAGTTATTCTTCTTAACTGTTTAAGAAATTTTCTAACTCTTTTTAATTCTCTTCAATAAAAATTTACTTAACCTATAAATAAAAATATCATGTCTCTTATTTTAAAAATAAATCTTAACCAATTTCTTTATCTTATCAATACTAATATACTACAATTAAAATTATTTTCCTTTAAATTAAATAGTTTCTTGTTACTGTTGTCCATTAATTTATTTAATTTTAAGATTTATTAAACAAGTTAACAAATTAATAATAATTATAAGATTTCAATTATTGAGATTCAATTTATTATGTAATTAAAAAAAAACTATTAGAGACAAACCTTAAGAAAAAACTGAAAAGTCTTTATTTAATATTAAAAGTATTTATAGTAAAAAAAGAGTTTGTAATTTGAAATCCAAAGTCTAATAAAAAAAAGTCAGTAATAAAATATTTATGATAAATTATTAAACACTTGAATATATCAACAATTCATAATAATTTTATATTTAATTTTACAGATATAAATATTATTGAACTTTTTCCTTCTCTTAATATTATTTTTACTATTTACTATTAATAACAACTTATTTGAAAAATCAAGTTCAAATTTATCTAAATCAGTTTCAACTATCTTATTATTATCTCTTAAATTTCATATTCTAATTATTTATATAATTAAGAAAAATTATATTTGGATTTATTATTCTTGAAAACAAATATAATAGTTAGTGCAGATAATATTTTAAATTACTTAAAGGCCAATATTTAATAAAATATCTTAAAAATAGAATCTTTACTAGTAATAAAACTCAAGATTCAATTATATAGTTCACTGCCTTTAAAAAAGCTATTAAGACAATTAGACTAGTAAAAAAATTATGAATATTTATAAAATAAAATTGAGAAATAGTGATTAACTTACTATAAAAACAATAAAAATGATAATAATATTATAAAATGAAAAAACATTTTTGAATTATTTATAAAAGAATTTTATACTTAACAATGAATTAATAAATAGATCAAATATTTGAAACAATAAAAGCAAAAACCAATTGAATTAGTTAATTTTTATTATACTGCTTTCAAGAAATTAATTAGAAGAGTAGATGTAGTTAAAGAAATAAATAATAAACAAAAACTCTAATACTTTATTTAAAGATTATTATTCTACTTGACTCTAGTAATTGCTATAAGAGAACTAATCACTATTAAAGAAACTATCAAATATACTTAACTATATAAGTTTGAACAAGATATCAACAATTATAAAGAACTATTAATTCAACTATATAAATTTAATTCTTTCAAGACTCCTGAAGATTCTATAGATTACTTGATTAAAAAGTTTAAGAAAGTATAATTAAACTTAATAAATTAGATTGAACTTTTGTCTACTAAAGTGAAAAAACAAAAACAATAAGCAAATAAGTTATAAAAAAACTCAAATATAATTTGCTTTAAATATGAAGAACCTAGTTATATAGCATATAACTGTTTATTTGAAAAGATATAATTAATAATATACAAACTCTTTCTACTGATTCTTTTGCCAATCCCAAAAACAAATGTTTTCAAAAGATTTTTTGTCTTTTGATAATAAAGTCTATACACTTTCCTTAAAAACAATACTGGTTTTAACCAGCCAAGTGAGCAGAAGCTATCACTTGTTTTATTTTTCTTTTTCAAAACACTTTTCTTGTTTATTTTTGTGACTAAATACAAGAA